AGATTAAACAACATGCTCAAGGTGGCACAGTAAATAGACACCAGGGGCAGAGGTTGGGATGCCTCCCCAACTCTTGCCCTGCATCACTGTACTACACACTGATTGAAAACAACTTGTTGGCACCCTGGACTGGCAAAAACGCCATATAAATAAAAGACTTGAAGAGCATCTGCTGGATGCCCTGGGAGGTAGAACAAATACCTCCTCACCCTCAACATTCACAGGTGATAACTGATACAGAAAGGTCTGAAGGTCACTGCTAGGAGATCTTGGAACAATCCCTTTTCAAAACAGCTTTTCGGCATCAGTTTACTTATTCTTAATACTTATTCTCAGTAAATTTCCCTCCTTCTGGCCTGCTTTTAAGCCACATAATTGCAACAAGACAGGATGTGGCTCAAAAGGCTGAGCAACTTAAGGCTTCTCATTATAGCCTTTGTTTCATTAGAGTTTGCCAATTTGACCTTCATTCCTGCTGGTCCATTGGTAAACTTGCAGCCTGCACAGGTCTACACAAACAGCTGAAGCATGATCTTCCTTTCATAGAAGGCTGTGCTCACGGTCCTTTAAATTATGCATTCTTTCATTTGTGCAAACTAGGCCAGGAGAGGGACTTGTAGAACAGTCTCAATCCTTACATTGTCTGGACATAAAAATAAATAGATGGAAGCAAAATCCATTGTCAGATTTTAACAAAAGAAGAAAAGAAGAAACAAGCAATGGAACAGAGTAGACATCCCCTTAAAAAAAATGGAGAAAGAGAAGGCAAGAAAGTGATAACATAGGCCGGGCATGGTGGCTCACGCCTGTAATTCCAGCACTTTGGGAGGCCGAGGCGGGAGGATTGCCTGAAGTCAGGAGTTCGAGACCAGCTTGGTCAGCATGGTGAAAACCCATCTCTACTAAAAATACAAAAATTAGCCAGGCGTGGTGGCAGGAGCCGGGAGGCGGAGGTTGCAGTGAGCCGAGATCGTACCATTGCACTCCAACCTGGGCAACAGAGTGAAACTCTGTCTCAAAAACAAACAAACAAACAAACAAAAAACAAAAAAAAAAAAAAAAAAAGGAAAGAGAAAAAAAGGCGATAACACAAGAAGGACTGTGTGGGGTCTTTTTAAAAATTGAGGGGCATGTTTTGGAAATGAAATAGGAAAACTCTGCAAATTCAAAAAAGGAAGTAGCTTCTGACCCTTTTCTAGACTCTGGAATGAACAAGCAAACCTGATTATGATCAGTGTCAAGCAATATTTGCCAATTTCTATGAAACTGTGAACATAAAGAAAGGCCTGTGAGTCATGAGTACAGGAGAGGAAATTAACTGCAATATTTACTGTGCAGATTCTGATTCACCACTATTTTGGGAGAAAGCCTGGTTGCTGTTAGCAAATGCATTTACATTCTGCTGGAAGCTCAATCTTATCAAGCCACTTTAGCTAATAAATTACTTGTGAGTTGCTTTAAGTAATACTTTACTTGGAAGATTCAGAAAAACCAGTAAGTTTTTCTGAATAACCAATTATTTTCTGAAATAACTCCTGTGTGTTATTTCTGAAGTAAAATTCAGAAGAGAAGTAAGTTAGCAAAAAAATCTCAATACAAGTGAGGTCTACCTTAAGAAAACATGATAGGCAGTATTTTGGTCTTGCAAAATAGATAAACTAGGGTAAGGTATTTGCTTTGACTGCGATTTTTTATTATGCTCTGCAAACTCTCTCCACTCCTGCAAATGGAAACAAGTATGATGTGTCCATCAAAAGAGAATTGGTTAAAGAAATTATGTATTTCCATATCATGAAACACTAGGCAGCTTTAAAAAAAGTGAAAAGAAATCGGTTTATAAGTAAGCTAGAGAAAAATGGCAAGGTATGAAACACTGTATATATTAGATTTCTCTGTCTTTGTAAATGCTTAGAATATACACTGACAAAATCCAAATGAACTGGTACCATTTTTTTAACAGTCGCTGGTTGTCATGGGGGAAAAATGGGGATTACAGAAGACTTCCTCCCCTAATGCATTGTTTTGTAGTGTTTGCTGCTATTTTTTTTTTCCTTGCCCTTGTGATTATTTCTTACTTTGGGGAAGAAAAAAAGAAAAAAGAAAACGAAAAAGCTAACAAAAAATAAAATTGATTTTAAAAAATATTTGAAAAAATTGGGTATCCTTCATTTCTAATATTATTGATTAGAAATTAGGCTTTAGAAGTCAATTTTTGAACTACAAGCAGGAACAATAGTACTTATATTCCTTCTGGAAATTAATTAGGTATTCCTTAAATTGATCTTGGTCACAGAGCTTCTAGAATAAAAATGTTAACATACGATTACAAACATGCTCTCTCACTGTCCTCTACTGCTTGTTGAATGATGCACTGTTGTTTTCATGATTTTTTTTTTTTTTTTTTTTCCTGACACAAGGTTTGGCTCTGTCACCCAGGCTGGTGTGCAGTGGCATGATCATAGTTCATTGCAGCCTCAACCTCCCAGGCTCAAGTGATCCTCCTACCTCAGCCTCCTGTATAACTGGGACTACAGGCATTTGCCACCAGGCCTGGCTAATTTTTTAAAGTTTTCTTTTTTATTCTCTTTTTTTTGTAGAGATGGGGTCTTGTCACATTGCTTAGGCTGGCCTTGGACTCCTGGCCTTAAACAGTCCTCCCATCTTGACCTCCAAAAGCACTGGGATTACAGGCATAAGCCACCACACTCAGCCTTATCAATAATTTCTAGTAAGAAGCCTCAATACCCTACTAGCCTGATCCAGGAAAGCTGGATCAGTATTGGAGGTTGGGGGTGGTGGGGATATGGCTTTCTCTAATCTACCCTTTTGTGTTATCTGTGTCAGTTTCACAACCATAAAATGGGGAAAAGAGGGGAGTTTTATTTATTTTCATAACTCATGGAAGACTGTGTGCACCGACTGAAGCTGCATGGACACTTAGAAGATGAAGAGTACGTATGATTATAGGGCTGCTTTATAAAGAGAATGGCTGTTTTCCTAACACACATTAAAGCAAGAGACAGATGGAAATGATAGGAGTTATTTAAGGCTGTGATGTCGGGTTGTGATAATGCAGGTAGCTGACCATGGTCTGTTATTAGAGGTCATTGTTTTACTCCTGTGCTTTCAGTGATGGCTGGATGGCACAGGGAGAGTGGCAAAACCAACCAGGGCAGCATGAGTCAGTCTTGATGTCACTGTAATACCGAAGGAGGCCAAGAGCAGCTGCATGGTGATCTATATGAATTCTTCAACTCTTATATGTGCAAAAATGTGTTGTACACTTGAGCTTGGATCAAGAGAAGCAGATTCAGCTGGGCACAGTGGCTCATGTCTATAATCCCAGCGCTTTGGGAGGCTAAGGTGGGAAGGCTGCTTGAGCCCAGGAGTTCAAGACCAGTCTGGGAAAAATAGCCAGACTTTGTCTCTGCAAAACACTTTCTAAAAATTATCTGGGCATGGTGGCATGTGCCTGTAGTCCCAGCTACTTGGGAGGCTGAGGTGGAAGGATTGCTTGAGCCAGGGAAGTCGAGGCTGCAGTGACCTGTGATCAGGCCACTGCACTCCAGCCAACGGAACACAGCGAGACTCATCTAAAAAAAAAAAAATAATAATAATGAATTTTTTTTTTTTTTGAGACGGAATCTCACCCTGTCGCCCAGGCTGGAGTGCAGTGGCGTGATCTTGGCTCACTGCAACCTCTGCCTCCCGGGTTCAAGCAATTTTCCTGCCTCAGCCTCCTGAGTAGCTGGGACTATAGGCGCATGCTGCTATGCCCAACTCATTTTTTGTAGTTTAGTAGAGACGGGGTTTCACCATGTTGCCCTGGCTGATTGCAAACTCCTGAGCGCAGGCAATCCACCAGACTCGGCCTCCCAAAGTGCCGGGATTACAGGTGTGAGCTACCGTGCCCAGCTAATAATGAATTTTTAAAAAAACAGCTTCATAATAAAATTTTAAATTGACATTATGTTAGTTATTTAGCCCTGGAAATCCAAATCTGATAGATTGTGACCCTCTTTTTTTTTTTTTTTTTTTGAGATGGAGTTTCTCTCTGTTGCCCAGGCTGGAGTGCAGTGGCACGATCTTGTCTCACTGCAACCTCTGCCTCCCAGGTTCAAGCAATGCTCATGCCTCAGCCTCCCGTGTAGCTGGGATTACAGGTGCCTGCCACCACACGTGGCTAATTTTTTTATTTTTAGTAGAGACGGGGTTACACCATGTTGATCAGGCTGGTCTCGAATTCCTGACCTCCTGATCTGCCTGCCTTGGCCTCCCAAAGTGCTGGGATTACAGACAGGAGTCACCATATCCGGCCTGTGACCCTTTAATAAATAGCACACAACTGATTTTTCTCTACAAAAAGCGGACATGTTCACTGCAGAAAACTGTGAAACAGAGATAATAGCATCAGAAGAAAGATGACTTATACCGCATCATTGAGAGATCACTAGCACCAAAAAATTTGGCTGATGTCTTTATTATTCATTTATATGTCTACCATCCAATTCAAATATGTATATGTATAAATGTACATACAAAATTTACAAAATAAATGGCATCATCCTGTTCATACTAACATGAAATAGAAACCTAATGATGTGAGCTTGTGGCTGGGCATGGTGGCTCACGCCTATAATCCCAGCATTTTGGGAGGCCAAGGTTGGCGGATCATTTGAAGTCAGAAGTTTGAGACCAGCCTGGCCAACATGGCAAAACCCCGTCTCTACTAAAAGTACAAAAATTAGCCGGGTGTGGTGGCGCATGTCTGTAATTCCAGCTACTTGGGAAGCTGAGGCAGGAGAATCGCTTGAGCCCAGGAGGCGGAGGTTGCAGTGAGCCACTATCACCCCACTGCACTCCAGCTTGGGCGACAAAGCAAAACTCCATCTCAAAAAAACCCAAAACCCCCAACAGTCTAATGGTGTGTGCTTGTCAACTATGTTGTGATTAACACCTTTTGAACAGTTTAAAGTTCTCCTAAAGTGATTCGAACTTACCTTCCGAGGCTTCACCTTGTCTTGTATATCATACTGGCCAATTCCCTTATAGCTGATTCCAAGCCACCAAGGAAGTCCTTGCTTATCCTAGAAGATGAAAAAGCATGAGAACCAAGACCTAGCTGTTAACTCTTCTAGAAATGAATAAAATTTACCAATTTCACCTTTTTTTTTTTTCCTTGAGACAGAGTCTCGTTCTTTCACCAGGCTGGAGTGCAGTGGCATGATCTCGACTCACTGCAACCTCTGCCTCTGGGTTTGAACAATTCCCCTGCCTCAGCCTCCCGAGTAGCTGGGATTACAGGTGCACACCACCACGCCTGGCGAATTTTTTGTATTTTAGTAGAGATGGGGTTTCGCCATATTGGCTAGGATGGTCTTGATCTCTTGACCTCATGATCTGCCCACCTCAGCCTCCCAAAGTGCTGGGATTACAGGTGTGAGCCATCACACCCGGCGATTTCACCTCTTAACAAGTATCAGCAAGTCAAAATAAAGCTGTCTTGATAAACAAAACATTATTTAAAAACCTAACTTGTTATTAAAACATCTTGGAGTTTCTTCAAATAGAATCTTTAAGTTGAAGTAGTCCAATACTCTTAATACCATCAAAAAGAGTAAAGCATTACTGCTTTAATTAAACAGTTGGAGAAAATAAATAAAATGTAAGTAATTCAACTAAGAATTAATCCAGTAAAAAGCCAGTTATCCATTTAAAAAAAAAAAAAAAAAAAGCTCTTTCTCTCTTAATTAGTAACCAGTTATAAAAGGATGGGGACGTTTCCAAAGAATTACAAAGATAAGAAAAGTGGTTCCAATTCCTGATGTTTATAAAACAATTAACAATGAACATTGGGATACTGAAAACCCTTTTGGAGAACTGTACAATTCAATGACAGGATGTTTGAATAATTGGTTTCAGGTACATATGGGGAGGTGAGTAATATTTTTTTCATAAATTTATCTTTTATGTTTTGCCAAAGCACAGAATATACTGACACAGGAAAAGGAAAATTTAGGCTTAGACAGATTCCTGTATACAAACTAGAGTCAGTAGAAATTAAAGTTAAATTGGAGACTGGGCATGGTGGTTCATGCCTGTAATCCCAGCACTTTGGGAGCCCGAGGCGGGTGGATCACCTGAGGTCAGGAGTTCGAGACCAGCCTGGCCAATATGGTGAAACCCCATCTCTACCAAATATACAAAAAATGAGCCAGGTGTGGTGGTGCATGCCTATAATCCCAGCTACTCTGGGGGCTGAGGCAAGAGAATTGCTCAAATCCGGGAGGCAGAGGTTGCAGTGAGCTGAGATCACGCCACTGCACTCCAGCCTGGGCAGTAGAGCTAGACTCCATCACAAAAAAAAAAAAAAAAAGTTAAATTGGTACTGATTTTTAGCACAGGTATTCTCATTATATAAATATTTTTTATCTAATTCCCCATCATTTTGAATTGTATAGAGATATGAACATTATCATAACATGAAAAGTCAATCAAGAACTTATCAATTATAAAATTATTTCTCTTCCAAACAAGACATCCTTAACACTTTCATCTCATCATCTCAAAATATCTGTCAATCTCTCCCTGCTTATAAACATCTGAAAATACTTTTCATCATCTCAAAATATTTCTTTGTCAATCTCTCCCCACTTATAAAACAGCTGAAAATACAGTGTATGTAATACACTGATTGAAACATGGTATTGCAAATCCTGTAAAAATTTCAGCATTCCATGAAGCTGTTGAAATAATGCTGGAGACGGCATAATTTTCTAACAAAAGCATTCTCAAATGAAGATCTGGTAGTGCTAGAAAGGTGACCAACTGGAAAAAGGACCCATCAGCAAGCAAAGGTGTTTCAAAAGAGAATGATCTGAACATCTTAGGACGAAGAGAGGTTTTGGAAAAACATTTTACCATAGCAAGTATTTTGCAAAAATAATGTGCTTTATAATTTGCTACAAATGGCAAGATAAAATCAGCCTTTTATGTATTACGAGAAAAGCTGGTATTGTGCAATAACTCTTAATAATCATGAAAGCTTTGTTATGTAAAACGATTTACCTTTACTGCATAATAATGGACACCATAAGTTGGTAGAGCTTCTACTATTTTCATATACCTATGGAAAATAAATATGTATCACAATCTTATTAAAATAGTTACTTTGTCTTTTGGGAAAAGTGATTTAAAGAAACACCATGTTTCTACTTTCCTCACTATTAGAATAATTAATAAGTTTCACTCAAATAGAAACAGAATAAACTATTTTGGGGAGTAATATATTTTAGCTTATTCAAATGTTAGGAAAATGCTAATAGAACCTCAATTTCAAAATTACAGAAAATGTTACTTTCCACACATTCAAATGTTTACGGATTAGGAATGTACCGTATTATAAACTCCACTTGCACGTGTTTTTAAAGTAAGCCCCTAATGATGCAAGCAATGAGCACCAACTTTTGGGTCATACTCATAAGTTAAACAATAAAGCTATTCCATATATTGCTTGTGGTAGAGGTTACATAACTAGAAACATCTGTCAAAACTCCTAGAACTATATACTTTAAAACTATGAATTATGTAAACCTGACTTAAAAAATATGTCCCCCCGAGGCCGGGCGCAGTGGCTCACGCCTGTAATCCCAGCATTTTGGGAGGCAGAGGTGAGTGGATCACCTGAGGTCAGGAGTTCAAGACCAGCCTGGCCAACATGGTGAAACCCCGTCTCTACTAAAAATACAAAAATTAGCTGGGTGTTGTGGCGGGCACCTGTAATCCCAGCTATTTTGGAGGCTGAGGCAGAAGAATTGCTTGAATTCGGGAGGTGGAGGTTGCAGTGAGCCGAGATTGCACCATTGCACTCCAGCCTGGATGACAGAGCGAGAATCTGTCCAAAAAAAAAATTTAAAAAGTCCCCCCAAAATAAAAATTAAAGCGACGATCCCGCTACTTGCTATTTTTAATTCAGTAGTGTTTATTGTACACCTTTAAGCCTTTGGAGTGGACTAAATTGTGTAACGCTTCCTCTCTGCCCTCAGGGAACTGAGGCTTTTGTTTTAACACAAGTAGATTTTTAATGACATTTTGATGATCAATTTCTCCAGAAACTGTAATCAATAATTTGACATATGTTTTAAAAGTAAATGGCCTACATGTAAATGAATATAAGAGGTTAAATGTGTCAAGGTCATGCAGCAACTAAACTGCAGAGTCAGAATTCTAACAAAATGGGCCGGACTCCACATCCTAGAGCCTTAATCACCAAGTGAAACCGTCTCTTAGATGAAGCCACACAATAATGATCAGAAGACTCTGCATTTAAGCGTGGCTACTGTTTTTTTTTTTTTAATTGTTTTTTAGGTTCCAGGGTACTTGTGCAGGATGTGCAGATTTGTTACATAGGTAAATGTGTGCCATGGTGATTTGCTGCACCTAACAACACATCACCTAGAGATTAGGGCCAGCATGCATTAGCACTTTTCTCCAATGCTCTCTCCCACCCGAGCCCTCTCCTGACAGGCCCCAGTAAGTGTTGTTCCCCTCCCTGTGTCCATGTGTTCTCATTGTTCAGCTCCTACTTATAAGTGAGAACAAGTGGTGTTTGGTATTCGGTTCCTGCATTAGTTTGCTGAGGATAATGGCTTCCAGCTTCATACATGTCCCTGCAAAGGACATGATCTCATTCCTTTTTATGGCTACATAGTATTCCATGGTGTGTATGTACCACATTTTCTTTAAATTGATCCACTCTATCACTGATGGGCATTTGGGTTGATTCCATGTCTTAAGCATGGGACTTTGTAATATACAGTCACGCATTGCTTAACAATGAAGATACATTCTGAGAATTGTGTTGTTAGGTGATTCTGTCCTTGTGCACACATCATGGAGTGCACTTACACAAACCCAGATGGTAGAGCCCACTACACAGTTAGGCTGTATGGTATGGCCTATTGTTCCTAGGCTAACCTGTATAGCATGTTACTGAGCTGAAATATTGTAGGCAATTATAATACAATGGTAAGTATTTGAGTATCTAAACATAGAAAAGATACAGTAACAATATGGTATTATAATCCTATGGACCCACCATTGTATATGTGGACAGAAATGTTACATGACTGTACTCACTAGTTTACTCTAAAACCCTTAATGGAAATTGTCACTACTTCTTTTTACTTTTCAGTTCAGAAAACAGGCACAATGAATTAAAATGTCAAGGATCCAACTTCAGGATGCTAACTTCTGATTTCTGCTGCAAAGATAACAGAAGGTGTGTTTTGATAAAAATGAGATTAGAGGCTGGGCACAGTGGCCCACGTTTGCAATGCCAGCATTTTGGGAGGCCGAGGTGGGAAGATTATTTGAGGTCAAGAGTTTGAGACCAGTCAGGCCAACATGGGGAAACCGTCTCTACTAAAAACACATAAATTAGCTGGGCATGGTGGCACACGCCTATATCATCCCAGCTACTCAGGAGGCTGAGGCACGAAAATTGCTTGAACCCAGGAGGCGGAGATTGCAGTGAGGTGAGATTGCATCACTGCACTCCAGCCTGGGTGACAGAGGGAGACTCTGTCTCAAAA